GGTGGGTGAGCTCAAAAGGAGGGGCAGGGCAGGGCTTGGAGGAGCTGCAAGGAGAGTTTGCTGCCGGATTTTATCCACCTCCCTTTCCCAAAGCGGGGACGTGCCTTCTGTGCCCCCTGCCTTCAGACCGTTCTGTTCAGCGCGGTTTGGAGGAATTATCCCGGGGTGCTGGAGCACATCCCTCAGTGCCTCACCTTGGGACTCCCCCACCCACTGCCCGTGCTGGGGACCTGCAGCCCCGGGGACGGGCGGGGTTGTCTCCGTGCCTGTCCCCCTGAGGATTCCGGTGCCTTTGGCTCGTAAAGGCAATATATGGAAATGCAACACGAAACTTAAGCCCTCAGCACTTCTCTAATCCTCTTCAGTCATTCTTTATGCATCACGTAATCAAATTTCCCTGGGTTTATCTGTCACTTGCAGACCTCCATCACCCTTACCTGGGAGCAGGGGGAGATATCCCAGTGACTTGTAACACCAGCCATGTCCTATTGTTCCCATTTGTTTGCTGAGCATGCGGGTGGAGAGGCATAAATATTAAAATATACCTATTATATAGCCAGGCCTCCATTGATAAATGATGTATAAAATCAATTTACAACCTAGGAATAAAAAGCATCCATGAAGTGGTTGCTAGCTCCAGGTACTAGAAAATTATTCCTCTATAACTTGCTCTGACTGGAACTCATTACACACTCTGTCCGTGGAATGATTTTGTTGTTAAAAACTGTGTCATTCAGAGCTTATTTATTCTCTCTCCTCGCAAAGGATTTTTGGAGAGCCTGCTGCCTGCAAAGCAAAGAGGTGCTTTGCTTTGCTGTTTTTGGGCCTGCATGGCTCAGTGCTCAGCGTTCTGGGAGATGGGGCAGGATGAGGGGAACGGGGGAAACACTGACATCTCCATCCTGAAGTGTCAGCACCTGCACCTTTCACTCCAGACAGGTGAACAGGCCCCCTTTTTTAATGATTGTGCTGAATTTCACCACTGCTCTGCTGGGTCACGCTCACCAAAAGGAGGAGATCTCCTGCCAAGTCACGGCCTGGAAATAAAATCTCTCCAGATTTTATCCGGTTTTGTGAGGGTGGCAGCTTTTCCAAAGGGTTTAGGAGAGCACCTCGAATTTTAGGAAGGAGCAACACAGGAGATTGAGAAGCCTGGAATAAAGGCAGCTTCCTCCTCCCCAGTTATATAGGTAAGCTGAGGTTAGATTTGGCAGCTTCCACAGACGTTCAGGGTGTGTAATGCAGGGACAAAAAGAAGCAGTTTGATTCTTGACTGAAAGATGATTTGCGTCACCTTATTTCTATTATCTCAATAATAGATATTTTTGTACACAGTTTTGTGCGTCAGAGAACCCTAAAAGACCCAAAAAAGGAAGCTTTTCCTGTCCTTTGAGCTGATACTCAGCTGTGTTGTGCACAAAGCCAGGCTGGGTCTGAGCAACCTGGGCTGGTGGAAGCTGTCCCTGGGCTGGTGGGAGGTGTCCCTGCCCATGGCAGGGGGTGGAAGGAGATGAGCTTTAAGGTCCCTTCCAATCCATGATTCTATGGCTCTACCCTGCTCATGGAGGCACTGAAACCTCCCTAGGAACCAAGGTGTTAATTTAGATTCCTCCCCCTCTGCTGGAACATCCTCGGGGACGGCTGCAGACAGACGTGAGCTCACCCTGCCCTTGTGCTGCTGGGGCTGGATCCGAGCCAGCCCTGGTGTCTGGGAGCCTCGGAGCTGCATTAGCTAATAAAGCCTTTGGAAAGGTGAGGGATGCGTGTCTGACCACGGCACGTGCCTGGGTGGTTGCTCAGCTGAAGGTGAAAGCCCTTTCAGGCAGCCCTTGCTCCGGGACGTTCTGCCGAGCCCTCCTGAGGTCTGCAGGGCTTCAGTGAGGGCAAAAAGAGCCAAAGCCAGACGGTGAGAGCAGCAGTGGGAGGTCAAACCCCCGTTACCCAGAGGAATGGCTGACCTGGGAGCGTGGCAAGAACAAACCAGAGGATCAAACTGAAAAGGCTGTGAGTCAGCACAGTGTCGGTCTCATCAGCCAGACCTGTTGGCTGCTCTGATCTGCCCGATGTGCCACACCTGCCTGGGGCAGGCAGCAGGGCTGGCAGCGTATCCTTGGCTCCCCCCGAGGCATTTCACTGGGTGCCACCTGACATTTTGAGTAAGAAAAACTTCCATGAGGTGGGATTAATGGGGTGAGCGGGAGATGGATGAGAGCTCGGGGTGCAGTTGTTGAGGGAAGAGCATCAATGGGGAAGGTTGTTTAAAGCACCTTCCCTGGGGATGGATTATTTTGGTCCACAGCTACTCAATACCTTTATTAATGACTTAGCTGATGATCCATGTCCTTCTCTGGGCTCGATTGCAGATGAGGTAAAGATTTGTGATGTTGCAAATAATGTAGTTATTGTTATGGCAGGAGGCAAAGTGCCTGCTTGGATGGCCACAGGCCAGCAAATCTCACTGTCACAGCTAAAAGCATCCAGTGCATCTGGAATTAAGATTCCAGGGGCTTGGGAGCTCAGTGGTTTGCCAGAGATGGATCTCCCTGTCCTGCTGGGCAGTGTTTTACCTGCTCTGCAGCTCTGCTTCTATCAAACAATGTCATTTTGGTGTCTAAGTCTCTCCACACAAGGAGGAATGTAACTACACCCAGGTTTGAAAGCAACCTGCTTCTAGCAAAGCTAATGCCAGTCTAAACCAGTGCAAGCAAGGAGAGAGAATCCAGCTTCCTGAGGCTGCTTTTGGGACCAGCAATTCAAACTTGCAGCCCCTGCAAGATGCAACACATCTTGGATATTTTTTTTTTTTTAGGGATGTTGATGTGAACAGAGCCATGCCCGGGGGAGCAGAAATCAATCTGGTGGCCCTTGCAGACAATGTTTTAGCAGCCAGCCAGCCAGTGGCAAAACTGGTGTTTCTCACTTCTTGATTCATGTATAGAATTAAAAAAAAAAAAAAAGAATCTTCTGGTTAAATGCAGCAATAAAGTGCAGTGAATTAAAATCAATACAGGCTCCTCATCTCTGGGCTTCAGCTCCAGGGCTGGTTTTTGGAGTTTTAGGCAGAAACTGCTCAGACAATCAAGTACCATTTTTTTGGTTGAGATACTTTTCGAACAGCCAAGGGAACAAGGGCAGGAAAGAGGGGCTGAAAGCACAGAGGAAGCTCCAGCTGCCCAGGGGGTAGTCCCTCCCCATCCTGTCACCACACTGGGATGGAGGCACCTTTGGGCTCATTCTCTCCTGTTTCTCCCCTCTCTGGGGACTCCTGTGCCCAGTCAGGGGGTTAATAATGCAGAGGTGACACACTAAAATCCAGTTTTCACTGGATTTCAGCTGCTCCTCACAGCTCCTCTGTCACTGAGGATCCCTTTCAAGAGGCACAAGTGCACAGAGCCCCTCCAAACTCCTTTTCCCCTTCCCTCCTCTCAGACAGAGGCTCGTGGCATTCACCTTGTTAAAAAGCCATTAAGCTGTAAAACAATCTCTCTCTTAATAACTGTATTAATTTTAAATGCCAGGGATACAGTCATAAAACTTCCTGGTAGGTTGTTAGAACCACGGAGCCCTTTTCTCTGCTGTGCCAGCAGGCTGGAGACTTCTCCCCCAGCCCCTTCCTCCACTGGCACTGGTGAGAACTGGAGCAGCCGTATTTTACAGCAAGTGCTGGGCTTGAAAAGGTCAATGGCTGACGTTATTCATGGAAGGGGGAAGGAGGAGGAGGGACAGAGATCTCCCAGACTCCTGCTGGGCAAAGTTCCCTCCGTTCTGGGGAGGGAGAATCCCCGTTCCTGGAAGGGGAGGGGGGAGCGGGATGTTCTACCTGGGACAAGGTGGTTTCAAAGTCAGCCCAGCAGAGCAAACTTTGCTTTCAAACCTGGGTGTAGTTACCTTCCCTGCTGTGTGGAAAGGCTTAGACACCAAAAATGACATCGTTTGATAGGAGCAGAGCTGCAGGGCAGGTGAATTTCCAGCACGTGTTTGGGTTTGCAAGGACCTCCAGGCTGAGGGGGGGCTCCTGCTCTTGGCAGTCCCAGGGCTCCTCTCCTGGTGTTTGGTGCTTCCTAAAGCCCCACCTGAATCAGTCTTGCTGCTCTTTAAGACCCCCTGAGCTGTGCTGAGCTCTGGGACTCTCCCTTCCTCCCTTTCCAAAGCAAACTGAGAAGAAAGGATTTGTCTGGGGATGTTGGATGCAGAAAGAACCACTGCCTAGTGAGGGCTGCTCTGGAAGAGGCAAAAAAAAAAGTGCACTTAGGTGGAAATGACTTGTCTTCTTTGCCAATTTAGCTCATTACTATTTCTGGAAAACCTGCTTAATTTTTCATGGCAGAGTATATAAAACCAAGCTCCTTTTAATGAGGAAAATGCTGAGAAATGGATTTTGCCAGGGTGTCAAAGAGCTATGAGCAAATCCAGCTGTTATGGGACTCTCAACAAGTGCTGTTTGTTTAATAGTTCAAATTTGCTAACCTTGGTTTTGTTGTGGGTTCCCTCCCCCCCCAAGTTATTCTTAAGCTAAAACAGTGGGGGATCCAAAGATCAGCTAAACTTTCTGCAGATTTTTAAAAGCAAAAAGGACATTAGGGTCAGATGCTCCTGCCTGCTGTGTAACTAGGCAGGAAAAATATTGATAATCCTCATCTAGCTTGTGATTTATCCTGATTAAGAGTTCTGGGTTTGTTTTTATTTTTTTTTTTTGTGTGTGTGTATGTTTAAGATGGAGTTGGGCAGTTTTGACTGAAGACACTGAGGGGCAAAATCCACATCCTCTGTTGGAAAAAAAACAACCATAAAGCATGTCCTGCTTCCAACCTGGATTTCTTTAGTTTCATCTTTAAGCCACCAGTTTTTGTCCTGCCTTTGCTCGATTAGAGAGACCTTTACTGTCTCAGAGGTGGGTTGGAAAGACCAACAAAGCCATTCACTCTGTCAACAGGCAAATAAAACCTGGCTTTGGTGTGAAGTTCAGCATCCCTGAGGCTGATCCTCGTTGCTCTGCAGGTGACTGTGGTCTGCACTTTCCTCCCTCCTGGTGTTTAGAAACTCAGGGGCTCTCAGAATCCTTCTTTGGGCATGTAGGGGTGCCAATATTTACACGGAAAATGAAAGTGTTCAGTGTCTTCTCCCCCTTTAGAAACACCCACGGGAAGTGATGCTCGAGCTTTGGGATTCCTGGGGTTTGTGAGCGTCGTGTCAGCTGCCCAACCTCAAAGAGTGCAGTTAATTGGAGGGCTTTAAAGCACACTGGAGTGTCATAGATAGTACCATTTTCTGACCTGGTACATCCCACAGCTCTGAATTGCTCACTCAAGTACCTTTTGCTGACACCATCCACATTTCACCTTCTGTATTCACTTGCAAAGTGCCAATTTGCTGCCTGCTGAAAGACCAAAAGAAAAGGACAGCGGGTTGTTGAGATTCCTTGAAAATTCCAAGCTGTCTCTGTTTAGGTCAGGCTGCTTCATTACCAGGAGCACTTTGGTGGATGAGGAGCGAGATGTGATGTGAAGTCTCAGATGCTGCTGCTCAGGAGAATTCAGATCCTTCCCATGGAGTGTCTCTTCCCGTGGCACAGCGACATTCAAATGACAACCAGCAGTGACAACATCACTGCTGTACTGTGGGACATCAGAGCGGGGAGGCAGGCAGGGGAAAAAAAACAAACAAACAGGGAGAAGCAGTGTTCAATCACAAATATTGAATGTTTTGTAGTCAGCAGTGCTGTCTCAGAGCTCCAGACCCAGCTGATTGCTCCCGGTGCAGGAGGCAGAGTGAAGAATTAAAGGGCAGCATGTGAAGGCAGAGGAGTTTGTGCCGGTTTGCTGCTTGTCTTTTTTTGCTGTCAGTGTTACTGCCACTGAGAGCCTGCCACCTCCTGAGCCAGGCCTGCTCCCACTGGGCTCTATCCCAGCCTTTCTCCCAGCTCAGGCCAGCAGGGATGTTCCCATGAATGGTGTCTTGTGAAGAAGAATAAAAAAAAACCCCGCCCCACTCCACTGAGTGAGATACAATATTTTTCAGTCCGAGGGTTATTTAGACTTCATGTGTCTTTGGCAAGACACAGAAATCCTCAGTATGAGGTTGAATGGCTCAAGGGCTGAGAGAAGAAGAGGTAAATAATTCTGCTGTTTGATACAGAGATGGCTTTGTCCCTGTTTGTCACATGTGATGGATGTCACCCACTGGTCCCCTATTGTTATTCTGTTGTCGCTTGTCACAGTCACACCTTCCTTTGAATCCTGCTCTTGTCTCTCTTCCCTCTTCCCTTCCCTCCTGACACGGGGCTTGTGAGTAATTTATGTACGACAATACGAGACTAATTCTGTTATTATGTCAGAGGGAAATTGAATCTGGGGTTTCAGAGCTGCGGCGGGGAGAGATCTTCAAATGAATCTGGAGTGCAGGAAAACTCCGTGTTCGATTCGCTCGCTTGTCACACTGCCTGCCAGATTAAGTCATTATGAAGGGCAGAGAGGAGGAGAGATGAGGGGGAAAAAAACCCACAGGAGCTGCACTGAGAAATGAAAGGGAAAGGAGGAGAGGACAGGAGAAGGAAGAGCAAAAATGAAAGGAACAAACGAGACGGCAAACACAGTAAACGAGGGTGTTGGCAGAGTGCTCCACTGAACGTGTTAAGCGTGTGCTTGAGACACAGTGAAGCAAAAACGTAGCTCAGCCTAAGGTTTAGACCCTTCCTAAGTGCCCAGGCAGTGCAGGGAACTGTGCTGTCCATGTGTGCCAGTCATGGAGAGTGGGATAGCCCTGCAGAGCCCTCCTGGGATCCGGGGGGATGTTCCCTCTCCCTGCACTGCCGGCCCACAGATGGGCTCAGTCTCTCCACAGAGGCTCCTGTCCCTTCGTGTTGGCAACAGGGAACTCAGTCCTGGCCACTGAGCTGCCTGGCTGAGGGGACAGCGTGCGTCCCATATGTCATCTGCAGCTTTTGCTGCTTGTGTTTGTCATCATTTGCTTCGTGTGTCACCAGAGAACGTGAGCAAGCCTTAATTTGGGGTCTGGGATGGTCCCATCCCAGCTGGGTTCCGCTGTGTCAGTGCAAAGGGGAGCTGGATCTTTGTCTTTTAGCAGGTCAGTTGTGCTACATTCAAACATCAGGTTAAAGAGGAAAAGCTCACTGGTGGTGTGGTGTTCTCAGTGCTCTGTGAGCTGCACTTGCTCCTGGATATTCCTGAGCTGCAGCTGCAACCAAAACCTCACTTTGTGCTGGAGAATGCTGGGATTAACCCAGTCCTGCTCCCTCCCTGGCACAATTGGCACAGAAGGGTGTGGGTGCTGAACTCCCCTGAGTTTGTTCAGGGCACTGTTTGCACAAGTTTGCCCCCAGCTATTGTAGGGGGTTCTGCTAATCCTGTGTGTACAAGGACTGGCAGCTCCACCACCCTCTCACACCTCCCCTCTTCAGCAGCATCTATCACGTGAGTTCCTGATGCTGCTTTACTATTAATTGGCTTGTGTAATCTCTGAGATTGTTATTTATTAATAGATTGTTCTGAGCATAGCAAAGTTCATTATTTAAAGCAGGAGACCGAGAGAGATCCAGGGGAACAGATGGATGCATGGAAGTATCAGAAGAAGGACTAGTTAAAATTCTAGGCATGTGCTGAGCCTTGACAAAGGATGGAAAACAGAATCAATCATCATTATCTGGGAGAAAAGCCATCAGTCTGTGTTTAAAATAAGCACTTTGTGTATTAAGCCCACGATGCCAGACTTGTGAGAGTTTTGCCTGGTAGCTGCAGACCCTGGGGTTAAATGGCTGACTGGGGAGCACAGAACAGCAGAGCAGAAGGGAACGAGGTGTACAAGCTTGAAAATACCAGGAGAGCTGGTTTTGATGTCCCCCAGTTCTGAGTGGGTGCAGACAATGCTGTTATTTATGGCTGTGGTGGTTGAAGTCCCCCCTGCAATGGCAGAGCCTTTCAGGTGCTACCCAAGGACTGCCCTGGGCATCTGCTGTGGAAAACAGGCTTGGGAAAGACTCCTAATATTCATCCTAATACAAGAACTTCCCCTTAGGGATGGTTTGATTTCCCAGCAGAGTGCTCAGCTCACCTCACAAGGTGGGCTCTCATTGCCTGTGAGAGCTGGGGAGGTGCCACCACCAAAGAATGGAAGTGCCAAATAGGAAGAAGGGCAAATTTGGGACCTACAAGGGATTTTTGAGTCAGCCAAGCCTTAATGATGGGTCAAAGAAGTCATAGCAAGGCCAAGTCACTGTCACACTGAATCTGACAAAGATGAGACAAGAATTTAGGAGTTTTACATCTCAGACCATTCTCCAAACCCCAGTTCCCGTCGTGTTTGGGTGGGTTTTTTGTTTTTTTTTTGCTTAGCTTAAGTTATTCTGGTACTTGCAAACACAAAAGCTTCCCTCCACAACAAATAAAACGTTATTAAACATAATATCTCTGTTGGACCCCTGCTTGTGAAAGCAAAGGTCAGTTCCATTGCGAACTGTCGCTAAAATGACTCTAATTGCATCCAATTTTCCAGAGAGGAATTTATCTCCCATTAGCAGGCCCTGCAATGCTCAGCTGTAATAGCCAAGCCAGGGATGCTGCTGCTCTGAGCTACCTCCCACTAATTGGTTAATTGTGGAGCTCTTTGGTAAGAGGTGAACAGAGCTTTTATTTTTATTTTTTTTCTCCCCTCTAAACATGTAACTTTTATATCCTGGCTGTTCCTCCAAACAAGGTTATTTCTGGCCGTGTCCTGGACGTGCTTTTACCTTGAACCCATCGCAGCTTCCTGGGCTGTTCCAACCCAAGGCACACTCAGCATCTGCTTTCTGTCCCTCTCAGCTCCAAGCTGTGTGTTTGGAGCCTTTTCTTTGCCCATCCCATTGTTGACGTGGCAGTTGCTGCTGGTTGTTTAATCCTCACACAAGCAGGACTCAATTTTTATAGCTGGCCAAACACCTTTTTCTGACAACCCTTCTCCAGCTTCCTCCTAAACTCTGAGATTTCCTGGCGTGTAACCTGGCAGGCAGCAGCATTTCTCCCTCCCCCAGCGAGCTCCTCTCCCTTGGAGCCATTTAGAGGCTTTTAAACTCTCCCTGCCTCCTAATGTGGCTCTTGCTTGCGCTGAGAGGGCAACTGGAGATCATCTAATAATGTACAATTTCACTTCTCTTTTTTTCTCCCTCTCATTGAGCACGGACAGATTGCTCTTAACCTGCTCGTCCCCTTCATACCTGGCTTCCTTTTTTTTTTTTTTTAATACCTGAAAATGTCAGAAAAGGGAGGAAATGAACAATCCTTTGTGTTCTTAACATCTGCATCTTTTACAAGAAAGGGGCGGGGGGAGAAGAAGCTTTGGGGGGATTTCTGCAAAGATCCTTCCAGAGCTGCTGGAAGAATTCAGATGATGGATTCGGGGCTGTCAGGTCCATCAATGCTTTCATGAGACGTTTTGCAGAGCCCAGCAGAGGAAAATGATGGCTGGACATGTGGGAGATGAATCCTGAAACGATTCATTGATGTTTTCTTTCTTAGTCCTTGTTTGGGGCTAAACTGCCCCTGGTTTCCCTGAGTTTTGTCTGGTAGTGACTTCAGGGCTTGTTCTTGCTTGGGATGGGGCAACAGAGAAATAACTACTGGGTATGGAGAGGGTATTGATACCACCCCATTCTGCCCCTGATGCTCTCATGGCACAAGGTGCCCAGAGAAACTGTGGCTGCTCCATCCCTGGAAGTGTCCAAGGCCAGGCTGGAAGGGGCTTGGAGCAAACTGGATTAGTGGAAGGTGCCCTTGCCCGTGGCAGGGGGTGGAATTAGATGGTATTTAAGGTCCCTTCCAGCTCAAACCATTGTGTGATTCTAAAAGAACCTTCCCCTTTCCATAGATTGAGAATCCAGCCATGAAGGAGAGTTCTGGGAGCTTTTCCTTAGCAAAGGGCGTTGAAATGGTTCTGGTGAACATTTAAAAAGCTCCCAAAAGATGAGCACCAACCTGTCCTCCCTACTGAGTCTGATCCCAACACCTTGAGAAATGACTTGGCAATCACAAAAACGTGTCTCTTTAGCCCCAAACTTGCAGTAGCTTCACCACACTTCCAGATTATATTGGTGCCTGAGCCACGAGTGTCCCTGTGCCCTGCCAGGCCAACACGGGCCAGAAATAATCCTTGCTGGCCAGGATAATACATGAGCAAACAGATTAAGGAGGTGGACATGGGGATTAGCCCTTGTTTCACCAGCTGTCCTTCTTTGTGTACCCCCCCTTGGACATCCCTGCTCCTTGGCAAGGGGCTGGATCCAGGCTGAGCAGGGGAGAGGAACAGGGGGTGGTGGAACATCCTTCCCAACCTGATGCTGAGAGCGTGGCTGAGTCCAAAAGAAAGCTCAGGGCTCTGTTTTAGTAGTTTTTCAAAGTTAATTTCTGTGGAAGTGAAATAAATTGTTAGTGGGGTGAGTCCTCCCTGTCTCAGGATGAGTTTGTCTCACCTCAGTGGGATTGGGAGCACAGCTTCCTCCAGGCTGCTCTTGCCCTTTCTAAGAGCCATCCTAGCACGGAGAAAATAACTGTAAATGCTGCCAATCCATCACAGAGGGAGTGGATCAAGCCCAGTTCTCCATGTCCTTGGCTGTCACAAACCATTTGGAACCCTGGCCCTGAGAGACAGGACAGTGGCTTCCATTTAGGCTCCTCTCTGGGGGGACCTGAGCGGGGCTGGGAGGGGGGTGATGGATGGTAAGTTTAGCAAACGAAGTCTGAGGGATCAATAGAAGAATATACAACCCATGTATCATGCAAGTTCCCCTTGTCTGTGCAGCACTAAATCAAAAATGATGAATGGCAGGCTCCTCAACCTTGGCACCTCCGGCCTCCCCCAGTGGAGCAGCATCCAGTGACTGATACGGATTATGCTGCTTTTCTTGCCTGTTTCCTTCGCTTCCCTAATAATTTTGGCATTGAAACATGAGGCTCTGTTTTTAATATCCTCTCCCTCCTCCAGTGCTACCTCTCTCCCCATGTAATTTCCATCTGGCAGGCAGGATGCCCGTGTCACATTCCCCCCTGCTGTATCCAGGCAATCCGTGGCAGGCCGGGCTCCTCTGGAGCTTGGGTTGTTTATTCCCTGATTTCTGAAGGAGTCACCTCTCCTGGAGGTTGTGTTCCAGCCCCGTGAACACTCAGGTGCATCGGGAGCTCTGAATTCCTCTTTTCCAGGGACTTTGAGGAGCTCTGAATTCTCTTTGTGAGCTGATACTGCCGGTGTGACCCAGGGAGTGTTTCTGGGGAGGGGAACTCAGGAGCAGGTCTGGAGAAGGTGCTGAGGTGCCACCAGCATGGCAGAACCACCCTAAAACCAGCAAATTTGGAGTTTCTTAGGAGTTCATGTCCTTGGATCAGAGCAGGAATTCACAGGCAAGGCACAGGGACTGACTGCCCCTTTCTGCCATCCCCTCGTGCCCCCATTTACACCAGCAAAAGCCTTATTTTGCTGCTTTACATATTCATCAAAAACATCCTCAGGAGCAGCCCAAGTGACACCGAGCTAAGCAGTGAAACTCTCCCAGGCTGGAGCTCTCTGGCTGCTCCTCTGGGAATATTTACACCCCCCCCTGTTCCAGCTCAGCTGGCCCAGCTGCAGATGACAAAGTGGCCTCTTTAGTCCTCGAGCTCTTGGCGTAAATCAGCTCCGAGTTGTTCCCAGTCAGACTCAGGCCACTGTGACAGGCACGAAACAACAAATTCAGAACATCAGCCAGCCAAAAAAGCTTGGGAAGTTCTTCCCAAAGATGGCCTAGATGCATCTTGGTTGATATCTGAAGCAAGGCAGGGGCAAAGCAGAGGGGCTTAAACTGCTTAGGAAACAGCAAATTGTGTGTCATGGAAAGCCAATCCCCCAAAAAAACCCACATGGGAATTTCCTGTTGCGTGTTTGAAATTACATCATGCCCTGAAAGCAAACAACAAAACCCTCCCAGGCTCCTGGAAGGACGGAATTGAGCAGGATCTTAGGACACGTGTGCTCAAAAAAAAAAAATAAAAATAAATAAATAAAATAAAATTATTACAGGATGGGGACAGGGAGAAAAGAAAAACCTAATTCAGAGTCATGACAACAGCACACCCCTGGAGAGAATGCTGAACACACAGCCAAAAATAAGCTCCAGTGGGTGAGAGAGGCAATAATAGAATTGTGTCTTGATGTGGCTCTGAGTGAGAGCTTCTAGAAGGAAATAGGAGAGGCAGAAGATCCTGTGTTATCTATCAACTCAATTGATTGTTGTATCCAGAGCTTGGCTCAGTAATAAATGAGAATGCCACTCATCTGGTTTTCTGGTCTATTTAGAATATTTTTAGAACTCTTTTTGCAATATATTCTGATTAATCTCTTGAATTTTCCTTTGCTCACTGAGACTTATAGCAACATCAGATTTAATTATACTGTGACTGAGAGGGATGTAATGAAGGCAGATACAAATCCTTGTGACAGCTGAGAGTGGCAGTGAGAGCATTTATCCATCTAGGAACCCAAGTGACAAGTGCTGCATTTGAGCCCTGAGCCTTTTGCAAAGCAAAAAAATGGGATTTAGCTGCCAGCAGGGGCAAAGCAGAGGGACTGAGGTGGTGTGAGAGCCCTGCACAAGCAGCCCAGTTAGTCCTGACCCCCAGAACCCAGCTTTCCAAATCCTGGCTTAGGGCTCTTTATGGTTGGAAAAGACCTCCAAGATCAGCAACTCCAGCCTTTACCTTCCTCAAGATCTCCAAGCAAGCCAAGAGAAAGAGCTTTTTGGAGTGATAAGATGATAAGATTCACTCCCTGGAGAGCAGTGGGATTTTACGGGCTGTGCCGTTTGGGATGTGGAATTTCGGGATGGAAGCAGGACAGGTGCCCGAGCAGATAAAACCTTCCCTGCCCACACCCACCCAGCACCTCCTGCCCGTGCTTGTTGCCACCTCCACCCCCCAGCCCAGATGTCTCTGCTGGTCCCTCCAGCTCATCCCTGGAGCGCCTCCCAGCCACCGGGAAGAAGATAAATGTTCCTTAAGCAGCACCTGCTTGCTTGAATAATTTCCCAGGAAAGGAGGCCACTTACCAGTAATTCATTCCCCAGCCTTTGTTAGCACAAACAAGGCTGTGAGGAGTAAGCACAGATTTCCCTGCTCCTCTCTGTTTATCAGCTGGGGTTTCTATTAAGAGGTACCAGAGCTCTCCTCTCTCTCTCTCACTTCCCCACTTCTCAGCTCTGCAGCGTAATCTTGTCACGTTGGGGACGTTTATAGCTGTTTTCTTGGCTTGTAGTCTAAAGAGAAAACAACAAACCAGCTTTTCCTTCGGGAGGGGGGAGCAGAGGGGCAGAGTGGAGCCTGGGCAGGAGGCACTGAGCTCTTGCTCAGCGTTTCTCCCTGAGAGCTGCAGTGTCAGAGCCTCCCACCCTGTGCTGAGGGGTGGAGAAGGAGAAGGTCAGACCCTTCAGTGCCATGAGGTGGCTGCATCAGCCTGGTGGGGATTTCTGGGAAAGGCTTTTTGTGTCTGGGATACAAGATTCTCCTTCTCTGTGACTTCCAGATTTATTCCCGTACAGAATGTATACTATATATATATAATATTCCTGTATAATTAAATATATATATATAATATATTCCTATATATAATATATACTGTAGAATCACAGAATGGTTTGGGTTGGAAGGGACCTTAAAGCTCATCCAGTTCCACCCCCTACCATAGACAGGGACAACTTCCACTATCCCTGGTTGCTCCAAGCCCTGTCCAGCCTGGCCTTGGACACTTCCAGGGACGGGGAGTCCCCAGATCCTATTTGCAGATCCAGGAAAGCAGGGTTAGAAAGAAGAACAGAAGTAGGAAGGCAGCAGAGTGTTGTTCAGTGCTATTTTCAGTGGAAGACTTAGGTCTTATCCTTGTCCTCCCCGGAGACTGAACCTGACCTTAAGCCAGTCACTTTTTCACGCTCTAAACAAGGTTTGATTATGTTGATGGCTCCAAGTCCCAGTGTGATAAATGTTATGTGAGAGCAAAGCATTAATATGACTTTTAATCACACCCAGACACGGATGCTTTGCTGCAAGGGTCCCTTCTTTTCCAGCATCCTCTGGGAAGGAAACCTGTTCCCACCACCCTCAGCCCAGGTAAAGAACAGCCAGATGCTGCTCAGGGTGAGGGAATACAAATACCTGAGTGCTGTGATGCCTGGAATCAGTTTAAATGGACACATATTAATTATAGGAAAATCAACACAAATCTGCCACCAAGCCAGAGCCCTTTAGTGAACAAGCCTGAAAGCATTTGGGGTTCTGATGTCCCAGCCTGGCAGGAGAAAGGTCCAACAACAAACATAAAAGCCTAAAAAGCTGCTTTTTTTTACCCAGCACCAGCTGTAGGATTCAAAAGTAACTTTGTACTGAGTAGGAGCAAAGGATTAAGTGTGATGCCCTGCAGGACTGCATGATAATATAATGCATTTTATTCTCTTGGAGCTGTTTGTTGCGGGGAACTCAGAAAATTAGACGTTTTACTGGCATCTTTCAGGCCCTCCAGCAGACGCAGGATCTCTTTGCAGACTTGCTGAGACATTGTCAAGCAGTTTGATTGTGAAAATAAGCACCTCCAGCACTGCTGGGTGAGCTCTCAGGCTACAAGGAATTAGTTTTTCAGGGTGGTGAGCGGTGTTTGTGCTCTGCCAGGATGAACACGGGAAGTTGGATTCCCCCAGAAACCCGCAGCTTTCTCGCTTTCCCTCTCTGGAAAGAAGCTGCAAATTTTCCCCTGCCTTTGAGAATCCCGGGATGAAACAGGGAAGCACGAATCAGTGGTTGTGGGGAAGGATATGGAGCAAATATAACTGATATTCTCATCTCTCAGGCAAAATGATTGTTTTGTTTTTTAAAGAGCGTTTAGGTTTATAAACTTGCAGGGCCAGGCTCTCTTTTGGTGAAAATTGACGTTGTTTTACATCCACTGTGATTCTGGGCTGGGTTTTTGTAGCTTATTAACAGGCTTCTGTCGGCTGTTATCACTTGCAGGGAGCAGGAATTTCCAGCTCCCAGTCTATGTATCTTGAAAGCCATTCCTCACCTGAGGCTGTGTTGATAAAACTGATTAGCAAGGGGGAAGGCAGGCAGGGAGAAACGTGTGAAAAGGGCAGTACATCAAGCTGAAATTCGGGAGAAATGCTGAGTTCACAGAACAGATCAGGAGTTATTAACCTTTGCATGAAAACTGCACTGCACAGGGGTAGGAAATTTGTCTGAGTTGAACTTCAGCATCTCTCTGACGCCGTTTGAAAATCCTGCAGCAGCTCTGGGAGGCTGATTTTTTTTACTCTGACTTGACAGTTTCATCCAAAACTATTTCAAAGCACCTTTGCCTTAATGAATTTATCTATGCAACAGCTCTGGGCTCTGGTTAAGTCTTCACCAGGTGAGGTGTTGCAGGGGAAATTCTCTGTACAGCAAAGACTGCAGGAGGTGTTTCCAGTGTGTAAATTGATGCTTAAATCAGGAGCTGTTTCCTTATTGTGTGGATGGAATATCTGGAGGCACTAAAAGAGCATCTCCCCTCTGCTTTCTCA